CACAATGTTGACAACAATGATGGTACTCATGATGACTGCGAGCAGCTGAAAAATGTGAAATTTTCCATTCCATTTTTGGACACTTCCAGCTGCCTTTTTCGAGGTTCGTGAGGGGACCCGTCTTGGTCAGCACCTTTGAATCCCATGGGGGGACCATCCCACGAAGCCTCTTATCTACTGCTATTTACAGTATTCCTCTTCTTTTAACGAGAATGTTTTTTGTCACAGTACTGGTTGTCATGATGCATCAACGCAAAATTTGAAGGTGTTTTTTGGCAGCCCTTTCTGGTACTAGGTTCTGCGAGCTACTTCGGTACAATCTTGTATGGTAGATATGGGGACTCTTCTGGCTAATACTTGAGGAGGAGTAGTACGCAGGAACTTTGGGACTACGATACTCCAAGATAAGTATGGGGCCGCTGTTGTTAAACAAGCTCCGGGCTAGAGTGGGACACTCTTGGGGCTGCATTTTTTTCCGAATAAGTACGGAAGCCTTTCTTGGGAACCCTTGTTCCTTAAACTTTTGGAGGGCAACTGTGCGGGACTTTTGGGGTTACAGTTGTTCTCGGTAATTACGGGCAACAGCTAGCACGCGCACTACTCGCCACAGGTTTTCAGGAGCCTTTCCACACTGCTGGCTTCTGCCATGAGACTGTTGCCCAGTCGACAGGCCACCACTTCCCAGCTGTGCCCTCAGGCCTCCCTTCGCTTGAGGCATCCTAGACTCTTGACATGTTAGTCAAAGCCCCGAAAACATGGATTTCCGGCGCCCAGCTCTAGACCATCCTGATCTTCACGTTCACCGCGCAGGCCAGTGTTTTCTACTGCTGCGTATTCCGAAAACCTAGCGTCAAATAAGAGCGGAGCTACTACTACTACTACTACTACTAGGAGGCAAGCCGTCACATTCCCAGCCCGCCTGCTCCAAATGAGCACAGCGGCTGTCGGCTGCCTAGCGGAGGTCTGTCCTAACATAAGTGTTTAGAGTTTAGGGTTTAGAGTTTAGGGCTTGGAATTTACAATTTAGGTTTTTAAGTTTAGGGTCTGGGGGTTTTCCGGCCCTGCCTACACTTTCAAGATGTCAGCAGGGTTCATATAGTCCAAATAGTCGTAGCCCAGTTTCCATATTTTTCCAGGCTCTGTTCAAGTAGATGTTCATCAAAGCACCCTATAACAGCAAGCTAGTTTCAAAGTTTGGGGTTTAAGCTTTCGGGCTATGTAGCAAATGTATCAAGAAAAATGCCTCCAGCAAGTTTGCCAGCTTCGCCCTCTCTGCATCGATGGCCTGGCGGCCAGGAGAAAGCCCACACTGTGCGTTCTAGGGCTTAAGGGCTTCCAAATCTAAAGTAGGGTTTGGGAGTTTGCACAGCTCCCCCTATACTACCCCCGCCCCCCGCCCCCCCAGGTCCCCACCGTAATTCACCTTAATTAAACCTGATTAGGAGGTAGTATGGAGGGGGGGGGGGCCATGATACAAGGACAACTCTGCGGATAATGTTTGTTTCCTTCATTCAAAACTTACCTATGGTTAGCTGGGAATGAAGGAATGGAAAAGAGAACGGACACCACTATAATGGGGGTTATATAGGGTTTAAAGTTTAGGGTTTAGGGTGTAGGAGGAATGGAATAGAAAATGGAAACTACTATAATGGGTTATATAGGGACTACTATAAGGATGCATTCCTTCATTCCTAGCTAACCAAACGGAAGCAAACCCTAAACCCGGAATTGATCAACAGCGAAAAAAATTCTTCGCACTCCACTCAGCGGCTCTCTGCCCCCCTCCCTTCGCCATTGTTGGCCCTAGGGCTCGGGGTTTAGGGTGTAGGGTTTAAGATTACTGGGCTGGCGAAAGAAGTCTCAGTCGACAGATTAATCGGCACAGTATACCAGGTTCCCCAGTAGCCCCTTAATGATAGGAGCACCCTTTTCCTAATGTTCACCCTTAACAAAGAAACCCAAAAATGAAAGTGAAAAGGGTACTATTCGGGTACCTCGTATAGCGCCTTCTTGAACTTCCCTATTGTCAGAAGTTCTCAGCTTAGATTGGCTTCTGATCCCCTCTCCAAAAAATCAACTCCACACCCGCCCTCGGCAGCTAATATTTAGGGGTACCCAAACGGGACTCATGATTATGGAAACTACCCATTTGCTCTGGTATGATATTGCAGGCAATGCCTACGCCGACTTGCAGAACAGCATCAAGGTGTTTTAGTGTCAACAGTAAGGAATGCATAGCTCTTCGCAAGGTAGCCGTCTTCAGTTTACATAGCTTGTGCTCTGTAATTCGACCTTTAATCCCAGAGCCTCTCCCAATGCATCCGTGTCATGGCCGTTATGCGGGTAAGTAGGGAATAAAAAGAATATATTACATAGGGGTTATATAGGTATTACATAGGGATTATATCCTCCCAAACGTCCCAAGTACTTACCTTTGGTTTGCCAGGAATGAAGCAATGCGAAAGAAAATGGAAACTACTATAGTAAGTTGTATAGGGACTACTGTAAGGATCATTCCTTCTTTCCTAGCTAACCAGAGGTAAGAGTCAAAAATCGCAGCAGATTTATTGGGACCCATAGCAGGCTACACCTGCTGGGATGTTCTCAGCGATCTGTTCTTCTCCTGGATGAGACAGCGCAATAGGAGAGTACTTCGTACTACTTGCTAGAGCAAGCGTGTGAAGATTCAGGCGCGTCTTCCATGTTTTTCAGTACTTTACACGAACGTCTAGAGCGTTGTGCAAGAAGATTTGCACTTGCCAGTAGGACACCCGACTTAGCCCAGCCTCCAGCACAGCAAGCTGCTTTTGTGCACGCGTGAGGGAGCTTCTCGTGGCCTGGCTACGCGAAACCCATACAATGGACTCAAACAGCGCTGGAGTATGGGCTTAAAGTCTTGGTGGTGGAGACGTCTCAATCTGTCAGCTACACAGGCTTCCATCACGGAAAGTGTCATTACCTCGGCTGGTCTGCTGGATCCCCATCCTACATCCGTGCGGGGGCCAGGGAGGAGTTGAACTCGTTTTCTGCGACCTCTCCCGAGGGAGGGGGGGGGCAAGTGAAATTGTACGGTGGGAACTGTGATTCAACCCTAAACCCTAAACCCTAAATAGTAGTTTCCATTTTCTTTTCCATTATCCCCATATATCCCCTGTATGCGTCTGCGCTCCGCG